TTATTATCTCTCTATTTTCATGGATTTATATTTAAAATTAAGGCTTTATTACAATATTATAAAGGATGAAATTTTATAATGATAAATGAATGGCAAGGTTTTACTCTATACTGAGGTAATAATGATATATAAAAAATTTCTTTATTCTAAAAATATAATATACCAGAAAATTCATAAATGGTATATAGATAGATTTAATATAATTAATGTTCAATTGATGATGAATCACATTTCTTTAGATGGTTCTTGTACTAATGTTGTCTCAATGATATTTATACGTTATTATTTTTGTCATGTATAATTACAATGTAAGAAAAAATGTTAGAAAATTTATGATATTACATAAATCTTAGACTACATCTGAGCGATATATATAAAATTAGAGCCACCTACTGCAATGATCAATGAGGCTCTTTCATTTAAATATATTGGATGATTAGTGAAAGATCTCGATTCAACTTTGATCTTTATTTATATATCAATAAACGTTTTACAATTCTTTCTTTACATTTCAACTCCCTCGTTTTCCTTTTCGTTCCAACTTGTTTTCATTCTGCATTTGTTCTCGGCAGCCACTGAAAATGTTTTCCAGCCATAGACATAAGAGATGTTGATGTCCGGAGAATACAAAAAAGAAAAACGCAAGCAAATGAAGTTAGTAATGGTGAAAAGGAAATAGGAACTTACTGCTGGCATTTTCTTTTAAGCCACTTGAACTTTCTTGTTCTCAAGGCCGGGAGCACTCCTTTTCACACCACTCCTTCACAGCTTGTCGGTCTTAATGCTGCAATTTTTGACAAATCCATGGGTGTTGCAGAACCTGATCGAACCTGAACCTGATTGGTCCTTGCTTGTTTGCAGCAGAAGATCTCCTTTCTAAGATGTTGGCCGTGGATCCGAAACAGAGGTCGCCCCCTGTCACATGAGATCAAATGCTTCCATTGGCTGGTATCCTCCCTTTCCCAGCGTCTTGTATAAAATTGCTCCTAGCCCCCACATTTCGATGGCTGCCATGTAGAGCTCCAATCCTTGTTCTCCACCACCTCAGCTGCCATGTACTTCGCTGTTGTGATATCTCCTAAAGGTGCTGATCACCACTTGTCATGCATGTTTAGCTTGGAAAGAATGTTGTCGAGCTTGAGATTCTGGTGAACCACGCCCCTCAAATAAATCTCTTTGAAGGTCTTTACCAGCTGCTTGATGATTCTGGCTGCTTTCTCCTCACGAATCTTCTCGC